CAGAAAAGCACTGTACAGGTAAACTTCACTGGAACCCTTCACTTACTAAATATATCCTGGCAAATAGCTTTTGTTTCTGCTATTAAATTTAAACAAGACCTCCTAATCTGAAATCAGAAGCAGCATCTGCTGTTGCACAGCATGGCAGACAGCAGTCGGATATTATCTGTCATATTGTCATAAATGGAAGAAGAGACGTTTTGGGACCATAGCTAGGAGGAACGGCGCAGAACCGCGTCTCTTGACTTCCCACGTTCCGTCCCTGACGTGGGGTGGAAGCTCTGCCTTGACTCCGCAATCCCTGCAGCGGCTTCTGCCACATCTGCTGCATCATTCCTGGCTGTGGATGTGTTCTCCAGAAAAGTGATGGAAGTACTCTCGATTAACAGTTAGTTGTTTCAGAGTTGAAGCTGTAAATTTCTCAAAATATTCAGACAGGCCTGTATAACTCAATCTGATTTTTACCTATTCCCTGGAAAGACTGCAGCCATGTTTCGTTCTGTCAAATACACGCCACCTCTTCTAATCAGTTTGTAATGGTAGGTGGCACAAGTTGAATGAAAAGTAATACACTTAGAATAATTTAGAACTCAGAGTTCCGCTGGAGTATCTTTGTTATGCTACAGAAATATTTTAAAATTAGGAGGGACAGGAGGAAGTGCTTCCTAATCCATGACCTGGTGCCTTGAAGTTGAGAATATCTGTAATCTCTATATAAGAAGTGTGAACTATTATGTTGAAATACAAGTCTGTGTATGCCTGCGTGCGTGTGTATAGATATATATTTAAATGAAGATACTAATATTGCTACAACTAATAAACAGGAGTGAAAACAGGTTTCTTCTCTATTCTGAAATTTAGTTCTTTATGGAATCTTTCAGGTTTTGGGGGCTGGGGAGAGCACGGAATGTTTTCAGAGTTGCTTTTTAATGGATATGAGTAGTCCAACTATTATATTTTTGAGAAATCAGTAAGATAGGACCATCTGTTAATACCATTCATACAGGCTTAAAACTGTGTTGTAAACAGTAATTCAAAATGTCTGGTTTCTGCACTGATACAGACAGGGAAATATTATTTTTAGTGTAAAATTCAGTAAGAGATGAAAGGTATGTACATTACCAAATAACACTCTTACAGAAGCGATCTAGCAAAAAACTGGTTTTTTAATAGAATTAATTTATAAGCAGCATATTAAATACTTGAAAAATAGTTTGTTCTTGCAAATGTGTTCTCCCATGAATGTTCTAAATATGTGAAATGCTTGTTTTAGTAAATGATTACATTTAAATTTTCAGTCTTAGATGTTAAACTTTTTTATATTTAGTGAAACTGAACCGCTTTGGAATATGACAAGAGAGGTATTTTTTTAATACATGTGCCTCACTGAGAAAATGAGAACATTAAATTATTAATTCCACACAATCGTTTTGCATGAAAATTATGCGTGGTTCATTCCTAAATTTATCTGAAACAGTGAACCTTTGGGGAGATGTTTTTGGAACTGTCTGTCTGCAGAACGACCTCAAAAGCAGCTTGTTACTTAACTTGGCGGTATATTTATTTATACACATCTTAAAGTCCTGGTGTGGATGGAATGGTGGAGCAGATTATACATTTTGTTGTCCACTGACTTCCATTCATCAGAATAGAAATAAGGGAAGGAGGAGACCTTTGTGCTAAGATGTAAGTAGCTTTTTCATAATCATAGATGAGTTTGTAACTTCACTTTTCAGAATTGTTGGAATGGCAGTCCTCCCAGCATCAAATCATGACATAGTAATAAAATTGGCTGAGGTGGCTGCTTCACTCCTGTGGTCATTGTTCAAGCTACTCACTTTTTACTCAGCACAGAACATCCAATATTGCCAAGCCATTCCCATGGCTATTTTGCCTTTCTGGAGTTGTTGGATCTTTCTTAGTCCTTGCAGACAGCACAGTTATCCTCATGAACTTTGCACAAGTTTGGGCAATAAATATACTTGCTGAGATTCAGTTTCTTGCAAATGCCACTCACTTTGTCCTTCTCATATCCCTGCCTTCAAGGTATTTTGGTCCTTGTTATTGGGTCTGCTTGCCATTGCTAGCATGCACAATTTGGTCTCAGTTTCCCCTTGACATGAAGTGGATTTGAGAATTAGCAAATACCAAGCTATTAAATGTTCATGTGTGATACTAAATTAGAGAATAAAATAATTTGTGCATCTGAAGTAGTCACAAAAGCAAGCATATAGCTCCTAAAGAATTGCAAACCAGCACCCTTCTGCTTGGTTGTTTCATAATTCCCTGTATGAAAAAGGTGCAGTAAGTGCTTAAAAAGTATGCTGGGGATTTTACATATACTGAAGGCAGTTCAAAGTTGTGGTTTCTGTAGCAGCTATAGCCGTGCCACATTTCCTGTATGTACTAAGGCATAAAGGTTAGCATCTCTACAGTAAGACTGAATTCAGATATGCATGGATGGTGGTAGCTTCTGACGTGTTCCACGTTGTCGAATTTTGACATTCATGGCTTCCGTGTCAAGTTTTCAGATGTATGGCAGTATCTTTAAAGTAAATACTTTCATGCAAGGCAGTGAAGGGGAGCCACCTTCCATTGGAGTTGGAAGGCAGACAGAAATGAGAAAGCATCTCTGAACGGTGATCTTCTGAACGGATTGTTTCAGAATGCAGTGCTGCCTTGTAGGCGTTAACAGCCAAAAATCTTGTTGGTTTTCTGTGATAAGTTTCCTCAGTTGAGTGATTTCCAGGCTGGTGAAGTGACTGGTGCTTCTTACTGTTTCTGCTATTTTGTTCCAACTTGTCGATGTCCTGGGCTACTGGGAAGGTTAGTCTCCAACTGCAGTGAGTTTGCATGTGGCAGAACAAAGTAATGAAAAATTATAATATTTGATATGCAGGGAGACAAGTCTTGCTATAGTCTGCCAATTATTTGTCCTGTCAAATAAAAAAGTAGAGGAGAGCAGAGAGAGACCTTCTTTCTAAGTAATAGACTTACTCTTTTGTTCTATTATGTCTTTTTTCTTAGAAAAATAAAATACTAATTCTTTTGTGATTATTCTTCAGCAAATGGGAAAGAATGTTGCAATTACGTGAGAGATGGCATTGTATTATTTTAAATAAGTGTTGGAAGCTTCCTATGATTTAATTTTAATTAAATAATACATCTTGACCATGCTCTTTACTAATTGGACCACTTCTCTGTCTGCATTAGAGTTCTAGAAACTTTAAAGTGCTTAAAACTCCCATCTGCCTTCAGCCTTACATGTTTCTGTGAGGTAGTAAGACAGATGTTTCATGTGGTATCACTACACTGCTAATGCTGATATTCCCATGATTGACCTCTGCTCTTGAAATGGATCTTTTCACTCAAGTAGGTAACTGTCATGGGTGCAGGATACTGGAAAATAACTTCTTACAGTTTAGTAAAAGGAGGAATTGACTTTTTCTGAAATATATAGCAACTATTTTTTTATGTCCTTGATGCATTTTAAAGTTTAAAGGTGGCAATCTGTATTCTGTTGTGTTTAAGATTTGGAATATATTGCTATGTTGGTTTGTAAATGTATGTCTGAAGTTTCTGATGGATATATTTGAAGTTAGCTACTTATGTGTAATTGTGTGACTTTAAAAACAAACAAACAAAACCTTTAATTAGGATGCTAGGTAAGTTAAAATTTGCTTTACAGAAACTTACTCAATAATGAGAACAGTGGATACAACACATGCAGCTAGAAGGACGTTTGTTCTTTAAACATGCCAAAGCATCAGGTAGAAATTGTTTTATGATATTAGTATTAGTTTTTTCAGTGTACTGTAATCTAGGGATTTTAGAATACCGATCCTCCCATGATATATAAACGGCCGTGCCAGTTGTCATGGTGGTGTTTCGTTTGGAGAGAAAGTTTTGACTTAGTTCAGCTAGTTTGTTCTGCCAGAGAAGCCTGACTTCCACAGTGAGTATTAGATACTTTGAGACTTAACTTCCTATTTTGCCTAAAAAAGCTTTCTTAAATATGCTGTTAACACTATGCAGTCATCATAGTGTTCATCAGAATCTAGAGTCACCTTTGTGTTTGTTGAGCTCTGTGTAATGGCAACCCACTTGTGATATACTTTAGGAATAAAATTTATTAGCCAATTCTTTCTACTTGCTCTCGGACAGCTTAAAATCAAAGGAGAAATGGTTGCTCTATTCCTTAAAAACACTTTGTGATATTTTTGTCCCTACATCTTTTGAAGTATTTTCTTGCAGTTCTTCTTAAAGCATAATTCTTCGGCCCTTTTTTGTCCTGCACATACCCACTTTCACCTAGATCACTAAAAGTATTCCTGTGTTAAAGTGGTTACAAGCACCGAGGCTGCGGAAGGTTAACTCTCTACAGCGCAAGAGCCGTAGGTTCTTGGGGATAATTAGCCCAGTGTGCCTGGCAGGGGTGTTCATGTGGAGCTATAGAATAAAGTCAGTGCAAAGTACTTTTGAAAAGGGGGGAAGGATGGACTTTTTTTCCTCATGCAAAGTTTAATTATGTACCCTTGAGTAAATTAGCATATCAAGAATAACTGTATGGATTCTAAAATACAAATTTTAATTCAAGAGCACGGATGAGTGTATTTTGATACGTGGCTACCATGTTTGGGCCTTCTCAGTAAGACATCTGTTTAAATTCTCACTAAAAATGTTCGTGTGTTTGAAAAAGACACTTAAAAAATGATTAACGTGTACTAGTAAGTTGGCGTGGCTGTCCTTAGGGAAGTCTTTAAGTGTTTTGGTTGGTGGTTGTTACTTTTTTTTCTGAAGCACGCTAGTATACCATCTTTTTAGGGAAAGAAGTCCTTACAAAATCTGAACAGTATCACAGTTTGAAAGATGTCTTATCTCAGAAATTGAATACATCTTTGATGGGGGCAGGGTAGGAGGGAATTGGCAGCTTTAATTATTCTCATGTTGTTAAGATCTTAACAATTTTCACTTAAATGTGATTCTCTTGTCTTTTTAAGATGGTCCAGCTGAAGCATCTGTTACAAATGGAGGCACTGCTGCTGTCACAGCGCTGAATGATGACCTGGATATCTTCGGTCCAATGATCTCTAATCCTTTACCAGCAGCTGCTGTACCTCCTGCTCAGGTAAAATTTATTTAGTTATATGTGTGTGTAAATATGTGCGTGCACGTGCATATTTTCCTTCAGGGAATTGTTCATTCACACAGAAGGAAGGCATGCTTCTCAACACTCGTGGCTGGAGACTCTAGCCTCAATGGCTATATTTTTCTCACCTCTTCAAGCTTCCGTATTGCTTGGATATAGAATCAGGAGAGAGTGTGGTCTTCCCTTCTGATTCCCCCTGGTTATCCAGCTAAATTGGGTTCTGTCTTACCCTAGTGATGGTAGTCATGTTTTCTTTTTAATTTATGTTCTTTTGTCTTGTTCTTTTTTTAATAGGTTCTGCTGAATATATTTTTACTTTATGTTCTCAGGTTATTGGGCTTTAAGTCATACTTTTTAAGAACTCTTACTGCTTTGTGGTGCTGATAGTTAGGAAAGGCTACAGCAGATACTTCTGTCTCAGAGCTGCTAAAAAATTGGGGTCTCAAGCTTCATACTCAAAATCAGGAATGGATATCAAGAAAAGCTGATATTGCTACCTGGGCCAATCTGTCTCTTGTCTCATCTTGGAACTCGTATGCCTTTCTTTCCTCAAGGAAGGGTAGCATAACCCCTGCACCCAGCCTGCTCCCTCTCTTATAGCCATGATAGTTTGGAAGCGACCCCATTGCCGTGCCTGTTGTAGCTGAGAAGGGCAGCTTTGGGGGACATGGAGAAACTGCTTAAAGCTGCAGGTCTCTTAAAGTAGCCTCGAAGAACAAGGTGTTGGTGGTGAATGTGGCTGGTGCAGATCAGAATGCACGTGTGCAGGCTTCCTTACCCAGACTGGCTTCTGAGAGGGAGGCTTTGGAAGAGTACTCACCGAGCTAACCTCCCCATCTGTGGGGCCCTTTTAAGGTAATTCAGAAGCTTATTTTTACAGAAGACCTCCTGTCTCACTCAGCTGAACCAGAAAGAAGTGTATGTATTCTTGAATTTATGGTTTGAGACCTGTGATCTGTACTTGTTTCTCTTTATCCAGTAGTTTTCATAATATATAAAATGGAAGGGGTGATGATGGAAAAGAGTTCTGACTGAACTGGCATATTGTAATTTTGTTTCCAAATGTTCTGTTCATTATTGTGGTCACCTCAAAGCATATCCATGTTGTTCAGCAGATTTGATTGTAATTTTTATTCTTCATCCTTTACTCTCCTTTCGCCTACTTGTTGCTGAGGACTGACTTTGTGCAACATGCTAGGTAGGGTTGTAGAGACTGAAATCACATTTCTTTTTAAACATAAAACTACCAATAGCACAAGCTTCCCACCATGCCTTAAGCCACCCATAAATGGTGAGGGAAATGAGCTGTATACAGGCGTTTAGGTTTGGATGTGTTAGCTAGAATTGCAAAGGGAAGTGTTGGTATAGATTTTCTTGTCTCTTGTGGAAGTCTCTGTTGAAAGTACCAAAAGGAACAGTATCTGAGTGCTTGTTATCTGCTATTCTACTGCCCTATGTCAGAATTGATCTAGATGAACCTACCCGTAGAGCTAGATGTGAAAAGCAGTAGCCCACTTCCAGCTTCACTGAGTTTTTTTTTAATGTATCCAATTTGGGTGTGTAGATTGAGTAAATTGAAATCTAGAATGGTGAAGTTTCCGCTTGGCCCTAAAATAAACGGGCCAGTGGTAGTAACACTCGTAATGGGTAGGGTTGA